CCCCCAAAACCCCAAAACCCCAAAACCCCTATTTGACAAAAATAGTTGAAAATTCAGTCGATAATAGTGCCAATGTGAGTTTAATCAAAGTCGCTCAAGTTAAACCATCCTGATTCAGGTTCTATCCACATTCCAGGATCAAAAAATCTGTGACCCTTATTAAGAGTTTTTATCTTATTCAAATCTTCAGAGTCTAGTGTTATATCTTCAGCTCCTTTATTTTCCTTTATTCTATCATTATTTGTAGATTTAGGAATGACGCTGACTTTTCTCTGAATATTCCAAGCAAGGATGACTTGAGATGGAGTGCATCCATGCTTGTCAGCTATTTCTTTGATAATCTCATCTTCAAGAATCTTATGTGACCCATCTGAATACGGGAATCCTGGAGCTCCTAATGGTGCCATTGCAGTTAGTTGAATGTTAAACCTTTGGCAAGTATTAACTAACCCTTCTTGTTGAAGATAAGGATGAAGTTCTACCTGAACAACAGAGGGCTTGACCTTAGCTCCTGCCAGCAGCTCTACTAACATCATAACATTGGCATTACAAACACCAATAGACTTGGCAAGTCCTTCTTCAGAAAGCTTCTCAAACTTCTCCCAGACTTTATGAATAGGAGGCCCAGTAACTTCCATCTTGTCAAAGTCAATCATAGTCATGCACCAGTGGATGTGATACAAATCAACATAATCGAGCTTTAGCCTCTCAAGAGAAGTCTTGAGAGCTTTCTCAGGATCTTCATACTCTGTTTTAAAACACTTGGTAGTTATGAACAGATCTTCTCTCTTAATCCCTGCTTCAAATCACTGTTGTAAAGCTTCCCCTATGGCTTCTTCGTTTTCATAAGCTGATGCAGTATCGATTAATCTGTATCCACAATCAATCACTGCGTGCTTAACATTCTTTATAATAGTGTCTCTATCAAAAGACAAATAAGTGCCTAAGCCAAGCACAGGCATCTGGTGGCCTGAATTCAACTGTAAACCTTCAGCTATAATCTCCATAATTATTAGTGATAAAGAGAGTTTAGAGTTTATATAGTTGTCAAAACCAGAGTTCAATCGACCGGAAATATAAAGGGGTTTTGGGGTTTTGGGGTTTTGGGGTTTTGGGGTTTTGGGG